CGAGCTCCACGCTCGGACTTGTACACAGAGGGACGTTCAAGATTGCTCCATATTGTGTTTCTGTGAAACCTGGCTGGGGAAGGACACCCGATGAGGCACTAACACCTACATGGCCTACAGGACGGTTTCATGGTCCTGCAGGCGTTTGTTTCTTTTCTTTTTTACAGATTTGTAGTCAGTGTTAGCATGAAAGTTTCATGGACAAAAGTTGGCCAAAAAGACTATTTTTAGTTTTGCTATGAACACTCTTTCCTGTGTTTAATGCGTTTTGCTACTAAAACAGTTGTGCATAAATAAAAATACTGGTAGCCGCCAGTGCTACCCCTTAGCTTCCTAGTAGATGCACCAATAGTATTAATGTAAAGATCCTAGGTGGTACCCAACTCGATTTATTGTGTTCACAAGATTTTCAGAGAATTTGGCCTCTGACATCGACCGTGAGGTTAAAGTCACTGGGATTCAAACAGCTCAGAGACTTTTAGTAGCTTAGTAAATGCTAAGTGACTTCCTTCATGAGTGTTTGGATTCACATTAATGGGTGTCCACAGCGCCCTCCCACCCAGGTGGTGATGACAGTACCCATCAGCCTTTTACAGCTGAGGGGTGAAAAGATGACGGACGTCAGGACACGTATTAGTCAGTAAGCTATTAACCATTAACCATCAGAGTGCAGGCAGTACCTCATTGACGTTGATGCCATGTGTCTGCATGTAATCCCTGTCATTGACTTGGCCCCCGTCTGCAAACTCCATGGTCAGGATTCTCTTGGTGGAGAGATTCCAGTGGATCATGGGAATCTGGACAGACAGATGTGCAACAGACGATGGGATGTGCAGGTTCATCCTCTACATCTTTTTCACATTTACTCACCGTTCAGTCTCCTGTGAAGCTGTTTAGCAGAGGTTCATTAGAAGGCTCAGTTCTTATCCTGGTACTATTTTAAATGTAATGAAACAACTGCTTCAAATAATCTTTTTGACGGAGTAAATCTAGTGTACTTTAGGTTATTTAGTAACATTCAGTTGAAAATTAGTTAAATTCCACTCATTACAGTTTACAGGACAAAAATGTGAGTAAGAAACATAAAAGTCGGCAGAATGACAGATGAGCCTGTGAAACATTAACAATTACATTTGTTATTGGACCAAATTTGAACAAAATCATCTTTTATTCTGCCAAATTTTATGTCTCTTTCAAGTTAAATTGAGGCAATAAAAATGCACAATACACCGAGACAAGAAAGAAAAAAAAAAAGTAACTTTTCTAACTGTAAGTACATAAAAACTGAATAAAGAAAAGTCTCAAAAACAGCAGCAGAAAAATTAAATGATAACTGACAACGCTAACAGCTGACGGGACAGGAAGCTCTCATAGACCATAAAAACTCTGTTAACTGTAAGAATCATATTTTATAAATCAAAGGCCTTAAATTAAAACCAGCTGTTTAGAATACATGTATACACAAAACTGTTACACTGTTACTCTAAAGGGAAGTCTTGCATTTTCATGCCCATATCAGTACCTTAAGAAAGGTAAAGTGGGCCAACATGTCGGCCACCTTCTCAGCATTGCGTCCCTCGTTAAGGAAGTCCAGCTCCAGAGGCATGTTTTTCTTGGCCTCCTCCACCAACCACATTAAGGCAAAGTCCGGGAAGAGCCAATGAACCGCCTTCAACAACACCTTCAAATTAAATACATATATCCAAAAAAAGAAGAATCAGTCTCACTGCAAGCATAATACAACAGCAAACATATATACAACGGTGCCCTCTCAACATATTAATACATATTATAAGAGTGGCTGATTAGACTCTCCCTGCAAAGATCATTACTGAGCAAATCAAGTGTGAGGACAGAAAATTGCTGCTCAGCAACTCTCCACATCATCGCTTAATGCCGGCACTTAGCGGCGCTCCTGGCTAAAGTGCTGTTTGGAGCAGCAGACGAGATGAGCTTCATCACTTGTGGAAGAGGCTCTTCTGAGTTCATTAGTCAAGGTTAGAACTGCTCAGCATGTAAAAACAGATGTAAAATGTCTTCTTGTTGCTCTAAAGGAGTGCCGTCAAATCTGCTAACGTGAGGTTAGAACAACCCCGTCACAATACAACGATCTCGATACCGGACGAGGGGTGTTTCTCTGGGTGGAATCAGCTGACTGGGCTTTTACAAAATATTCATTTCTTTCAAAATGTGGTTGAACAGTAAATGTGAAAAGTCATCTTTTCAGGCTATTACGGATACTTGAATTCAGCTCAAAATTCAACCACAGAGTCTAACAGATGCTACATAGTAGCTTCCACTTTGTCATCATACCACTCACAGTTTGCTGTGAATAGTTCATTGTGCAGAAATGTGAGAGCTGGACGTGTTGCACAGGTGGCATCCTACCCTGGTACCTGCTGGCTAAGCTCCTGAGAACTGCTGTTTCAAAAATGTTCGTCTGGCATGGAAGCGACTGGAACACTTGAATTCAATGACAGCGTTGATGATAAACCTACTAGCTGACAAAGTTGTTGTCAATAAACTGATCATAAGTTAAACTGGTTGATTTGCATTAGGCCAATGGACCAGCCCCACATTTCCTGACTCATTCAAAAGCAGTTGAACAGACAGAGACTCACTTCCATTACTAGGATGTCGTTGGCGCTTTGCTTCTGGACTTTGGGGTGTTGGATCTTGACTGCCACCGTCTTTCCATCATGTAGCACTGCCTTGTGGACCTGTGCTAAGGAAGCTGCACCCTGAGGCTTCTCTTCAAAGGACAGAAATAATTCTGACAACTGGAGGAGACAGAGGGGGGATGAGGGATTATGAAGGGAAAGAGGTGAAGAATTATGAGATGGGAACAACATCAAAGTACACGCACACACACGCACGCCCTGCCTGCTAGCATCTTGCACATCCTCTTATGTACTGGATTGCCTCAGATTGTGTTTTCCCACCTTTGCATCTGATTTTTAACTCACTGTTTGTTTCACACACTCCGAGAATCAATAAGTGGACCCATCACAATAAAATCTGCTGAGAAGTTTCCCTCGCAAAGTCAAAAAGCAACGGAAACCATAATTGGCACAGTTAACTCCATAACCGACTGTAAAGTAAGAACATAAGACAGCTGAGTGGGGAAGTAAAATACTTCTGTTTTTAAAATAAATACTTTGTGATGACATCTACAGCAGGTAAAACATCAAAATCACAGCTGCTCTTACAGTAACACATTATCTTCAAGTCCTTGGGTTGCCTTTTATGTTTAAATGTTTCTATTAAATATGTCCAAGCTATGAAAATTATATATTTTTGAACAGTTTTGTCAGATAAAAATACAAATGGGGGTTATGATTATTAAAAGTTTACTAAATTAGTCAGTAAGACAATGAACAGTTGAAGGAATACAAAAAGCAGTTGGTAATAAAAGTCCAAACTATCAAAGAGTTCTGCATGTTTACACAGGCAGTATTATTAGAATCCATAACATACATTTTCACTGCTATGCAGATGATACCCAGCTTTATCTACCCATGACACCAGGTGACACACACCTCTTTACATCACATGAATGCCTTAAAGACATAAAGACCTGGATGAGCGCTAACATCCTGCTTTAACTGTGGTTATTGTATATTAGAAACAATGTATCCAACCAGATTATTATTATTAGAATCATCCTGTGTCACAGTGACAAATCAGTCAATGAATTTATTACTTAGTTTGACAATTGTAGTTTATTATTGTCAGGTAAAAACTCCCTGAAACACCTTCAGTTGCTGCAGTGTCCTACTGAAAGGGACTAGCAGGATGTTTCCCCTCACACTGGCTCATTATTGTCCCCCCAGATAAAACCAGTATTCAATTTCAAATCCTTCTCCCTGGGGTCTTACATAATCAGGCCCATCTTATCTTAAAGACCTCAAGTCTTAGATATAGATAGATAAGATATAATGCCAATAGAGTACTTTGTTCTTCGGCTGCTGGTCTTCTTGTGGTTCCTCGGGTGTTTGAAAGCAGAGTGGGAGGCACAGCCTTACACTGCATTAGGTCTAGGGCAGGGGTCGGCAACCCGCGGCTCCGGCTCTTTAGTCTTTATTTTGCGGCGCCGGGTGGTTATTATTTTTTCATCGCTCAAAATAAGCGTCACACTCACGGAAGCCAGTATGCTCGCTGAAACGCCGTGCATTTATCGAGACTTTCGACCCCAGGTAGGCCAATTATGGATCTTTGGATCCACATTATGTCAGCAGCTCCACCGTGAACTACGTTAAAACAAACACGCTCACGCCTCACAGACGACAGCTTACAGTCCTGCGTGAAGATGAAAGTGACTTCGTACAGCCCGGATCTGCAGACGCTGTGCGCAGAGGTTCAGGAGCAGAAGTCCCATTGTAAACATATCACGGCAGACCCGACGATGTTTGCATGAACACGCTTTTCACACACGGTTGCTGTACGCACACAGCCGGCTGTAGCTTTTCAGCTCACAGCCCGACACACACCACAACAGCATAGAGA